GAAGGGAACTGATGGATTTTTAATCCAGGAGGAAAGACGCAGGAAGAACCCTTTTCCTCTGTACAGCTGCTAGTAAGTACTTGTCCTTGAGTGCGTGTCTCAGGTTCCAAAACAAAAGAAGGCAACAAAAGACTATGTAATAAATGAGGACAGACAGCAAAAAGTCCCTAAAATATTACTGCCAACCAGGTGTTGGGTGTTCTTCCCAGGAAAAACAACTGTGTTTTGCAGCATTGCTTGACAAACTTAAGGGAAATGCAGAATATTAACTTTTCTCTACATGAATCTAATCCGCAGGCAGCATATTGGGAATCGCTGCTGTATAATGCAGCCAACCAGGTTAAAAAGCAAAAGGATCAATAGATAGTCTTAGAAGCCTGCTGGACAGTTTCTAAGAGGTTGGCTCAGAGGCCCATAGCATTCTAGTGAGATCATTCGTAGTAAAGTAGCAGGGATCAAAGAATCGTCACTTTCCATCCACTCCACAACAAGATAAAAAGCATCCAAAGTGCTTCTTTCCTTTTGTTTCAGATAGCTGGTGAAACACCTTTTTAATCTTTTGGCGTGCTGACATCAAAAGATTTCAAGTTGCAAAGGTCAAGGCCACCAGGCAGACCAAGAAAAACAGCCTAATTCTTTCCAGTTCTCTATGATAGCCTTGGGAATTATAAATATCAGTATGGCAGACGTGCTGCCTATAATCACTAGAGGGGGGAAAGAAAAAAGGAATGTATTGTAAACCTATCCATAATTATCAGGCAGAATGTTGCAGTCTGGCAGAAGTAATGTATTTGTTTTAACATTTTATATAAACAAACACAGAGCCAATTCAAGAGGCTCAAAATGATGAGGACATCCATGCTTTGAAAGCTGAGCTATGTAAATCACGGTTCAGGCCTGCCCAGATGTTATGTTGCCTACAAGGATGTACAGAAAGATGTACATCTTAGTTGAGTTCTATATCAAACACAAGAGGGAATAGTGGCAAGAAGAAAATTATATGGAGACCTTGATGCTCTCCAAGCTTGGTTGTTTTCTTGCAGACATTTCATCACCCAACTAGGTAACACATTCAGTGCTAGCAGAGAATGGGGTTTCTCCCTGTTTATATACAGTAGCTTGCCCTGTCATGTTGGAATGGTGTTTTCTTCTTGGTAGTTTCTAGATTAGTGTCTTTTACTATTACCCGATTTGTCAGTTCGTTGATTGAGGTATTGTCTATTGATTACTTGTTGGTCTGGTATTAATCCTGGTATTAATTCTAAACTAGAATTAAATTCTAGTTTAATTCTAATTTAAAGTAGAATTAACACCCATTATCTGATGATGAATCCATACCAGATCTATACTTTTGGTTAAACGCATGGGAATACTATAATTTCTAGACACTGCACTATAGTCTGACTTTGAATTCTGAGAGTGGTAATCCCACGGATATTCCTCTGATTTATTGGTATATTTGTCTATTATAAAAAGGAAACAAAAAAATGTCTGGTATCCTTCTCACCAGCAATCGATACCCAGATGCAGTAATTAAATAGTAAACAACAGTCTTATCAAAGAACTATAAAAAAAAACCACTCCTAGCAACACTGACAGGGCAACCCACTGCATATAAACTGAGAGCAAACCCCATTCCCTTCTAACATTGAAGATGTTATCTAGGTGGGTAATGAAACATCTGCAAGAAAACAATCAAGTTAACCAGGGTCTCCACAATTCAACCCTGAGCTACCAATCTGATAGAAATTACAAGCAAGCTAACCCAACAGTTCAGGTAAAATTAATTAAAATGGCTAATATTTATCAAATATTATCATCATGAGTCCTATTAACAATACAGTACAGCACAACCACAGTACAGCAACCTCAACAAGTTTAATGCTAACTTTTACCTTTAACTTGCAAAGTTTAACTTTGTTTTCCATTATATTTTAACTGTGCTTTAAACATGTTTTTATATTATTTTATTATGTTGTCTGTACCCCTCCCAATGTCACTTTAGGTAAAATGGCTGGTGTAGAAATTTGATCTATAAACTAAAATAAATGTAAAAATGCCACACAGTTCTATATCATTTTTGATATTGGAAAAGACAAGCCAACAGATGAGTTAGATAAAAGGTTAGGTCTTGCATTTTATTTAAATTTACACTATGGAACCACTTATCGTAAGATCAAGAGTTGTTAACTATAACAAATAAAACAGAAATGTGATTTTAAAGCAACAAAACACCCAACACATTAGAGAGGTTAGAAGATTTTGCTCAAGTCAACCTCAGAATATGATTTGGGATCTGTCACTTTTTCATGGAGGACTACTATGCTATCGGGATAAAATGGAACAACTATGTATGATAGCTGTCTTAGAAGAAAATGAAAGAAAAATATAACCAAATAAATAATCCAACCTCATAAAAAGCAAATTAAAAGAAATCAGTAATAAGTTGCTTCAGGAAAGAATGTCAAAACATTGGCATCCCAACTGAAAAAGCCCTGCATATCAAATTAATAAATAACAAATGCTTCCTATGGCAGGATTACACAACACCTAACATATTCAATATTCATCCTTAGGACCAGTCAACCTTTTTATACCTACTGCCCACTTTTGTATCTCTGTTAGTAGTAAAAAAAATTAACCACCCATCGGATCCACAGTAATGGTGATTTATAAAGTAGGGAAGTAACTTTACTTTATAAAATTTATAAAGCAGAGTTACAGCAAACCCCTATCACCCACCATGAAAGCTGGAACACTTACTAGTGGGTGGTAGGGAAGGCAGGTTGACTACCACTGCTTATGACACTCCAAAATGTTGCTTCAACAAGACATAGGGC